AAACGGGACATCATAATAAGACCGTAATAGAAAGTCTAAGTCTACAGATGATGTTCAACGGGCTGCAAATCCACTGTAAATATTGTATACATTGTATCGCGTTTATGTTTATTTCTTTCTTTTTGTAATATTGTTTAAAAAAGGAAATATCCACACAAAACTAGATTATTGGCACAACGACCTGAGTGTTTTGTCATATCTGTAGTGCCAATGGCGAAGCAGGTCATGGATAATTTTTATATATAGTTTTCTAATCAAATATAGATTAACACTGGTAATAATTTAAGTATTGTTCAAAATAAGTTTAAGATTTGGCATTTTGTGCGTATGGTTGGTAGTAATTTGTTTCTTATTAACACTACACTTCGAGTTTATATTTGTGTCTGTCTGGAGGAATTCCACTCATAGATGTATGCAAAACAAATACATAAATATGCGTTAAAAATAAAATATTATAAAGAGAGAGAAAGATGTAAATGCATATGTGAAAAGAAACCCAAATCTAATTTACCTCTGGAAGAAGAAAAATCTTCTGTAACGCTGTTTTGTCAACTCTCTTTACACTGCACTGAGAATTCCATCATAGAATATTTTCTTTGAGCATAAGGCAGCAGTTTTATGATTATTATTGATTACATTCATAATATAAGGTTCCCAAAACAGTTCTTGTCGTTTAAACAGTTATAAAATACTTTCTAAAACATATTATTTAGTGCTTTTAAAAATTTTCTTATATTTTAGCTATTAGAAAAGGAAAAGTTATGTAACAGTATTTAGCTTAATGTGAATTATTATGACAAATTTTCTTGCGAAGAGGTTACGCTCTTCATTTTTAAGCTACTGAAATTTGCTTGAGAGTAACGACTTTGGCATACTGAGAGTATTTTAAAGTAGAGAAAAAAATACGAGACCTAAAAACTGTGCTGAAATATACAAAAATATTTTGAAACTGTGGGTAAAAATTTGGATGTTTATCTAATTTTTAACTCATAAGGTATTTTCTCCCTCCTTTCCATGCCTTCGGCGTATAATTGGAAGCATGCTCGATGCGTAATTAAGATGTCCAGTGTTTGAGTTCCGGCGAGGGCATTGTACATTTTCACGTCTCCTGCTTCAAAAACTTCTAACCTTTTAGTTCGGGCGCTACAATTGGCGCCCGAACTAAAAGGTGGTGGACGATTATTCGTAATTGCTAGGAGTTGCCGATTGGAGTCTCCTAATCCCCAGTCGCTCTTTTAAAGCGGGAGTGAGAAAATACCTTGATGCATACCTTCGAAATTCGATGCATACTCGACGCGTGTGCGAAAGATCCAGAGTTCCAGTCCCAGCGAGGGCACTGCATATATTTCACACCACTTTCTTCAATAAAACGTAATGACTCTGCAATCTATTTTAATCTAATTTACATAATTGACTGCATGCAACGGTTTTAAAGCCTTTTTGTGAATAAATCATCTTATTTTAAATTTATTCAAATTTATCTCTTTTATTTGCTTTTAAACCGTCCTTTGATTATGAGCTCCAATCCTTAATCTGTCACTAAATGACAATATTCGCATTAAAAAACAGTTTTTGATAGCATTAGCTATATAAAGCTTAATATCGCTGGAATGAAAACAGCCACATTTTAGGAGACTGGAAGAGACTTTTTTTTCTGCAAAAATATGTAGTTTTAAGCAAAACTATATACGGAAAAACTTTCTTATAAAATCACCTCATGTAGGGTCACAATTTTAAAGACCCAGCAAAATGATAATTTCAAGGATTTCAGCTGAATTAGAGTTAAATTTATTGCACGCAGTCTCGGATCGGAAATATCTATATCATTTACATCGTTCCAAACAGAGACATCATTATGAAAAGTCCATTAAAATACCGCTATTAAAATTTTAGTAATTTTCCTTACCTTATTGTAAGCTGTTGTTTTTATGTAACTTTTTTTTTTTTTTTTTTTTTTGTATACTATTTCTTACCTTATTGTATACTATTTCTTACCTTATTTTAGGCTGTTATTATCGTTGTTTGTTAATCTCTACTAGCACGATCCATCTGGTCCACTCGTTTGCAGAACAGGAGACATGAGGGATAGAGGTGATAAAATGATGAAGCATGATTTGAAAAACGGTCTTAGAAAATAGTTGTAGAGACATTATGTTAATTGGAGGAAGGCAAGATGAAAAATTAGCAACCGCCTTCGCCGGGAATCGAACCGCGGACCTCTGGGTACTGGCCCAGCGTGCAGAACCACTTCACTACAAAGGCACGTCAGGAAGGTGGGAGAAATACCTCATATAGTCTATAACTGATGGAAAGAACACGGAATTCAGCACACTCTATATGGTATTTTCTCCCTCCTTTCTCCATGCCTTCGTGGTGTAACGGTGGCACACTCAGCGCGTATTCAAGAGGTCCAGGTTCGGATCCCTGGGAGGACAGTGCGCATTTTTTCACGTCTTCCTGCTTCAAAATAACCTAATGATACAACAGTGGTTCCCGAACTAAAGGGTGTGGATGATGACTCTTCACCACCAGGATTTGGTTACTAAGTCCTCTAGTCCCCAGTCGCCTTTTAAAAGTAGGAGTATATAAGGTATTTTCTATCTCCTTTCTGCATGATTTCGTAGAGTAACGCTGGCACACTTGCCGCGTATTCGAGAGGTCCGGGTTCGGATCAAGGCGAAGGCACTGCACATTTTTCATGTCTTTCTTCAAAATAACCTGATGACACTTCAACTCTACAGTGACAACTGACAACACTCCTCTCTCTCTGTGTTGGCGGGACATCTTCGAAACAGATTTTCAGCCCCTTGAGAAATTTTTCTGAATAAGTATCTTTGAAAGAGCTATTGAGAATGAATTAGAATGTGTTAAGACAATATTTTTCAAGCATGTAATTCTGACTGCATTATTTCATAAGAGGATTTATAGTCAATAAATGGTAAGAAGTGTTTGACGTAAAGATTGAGCTTATATCTCAATGAAAAAGCGATAGCTAACCTGAAAAACCAACAATTTTACGCACTGTAACAGGAGATTTTAAGATTATATCCCATGCTACTGAGGAAAATTTCAAAATTGTTTATAATTTTATAAACTTGCTAAATTTTTGAAATTTAATGTAATATAATCACGTATTATGATCTCTTCATATAGTGACATCAAAGAATTTTTGAGTTAACGCAAATTTCTCTACTATATTGTACATAAATGAAAGTAAGTAAATAATTTGTGAATGGAAATACTAATTATTTAAGTTTTAATTATACTAAATTCATAAAGTGATGCATTGAAATTAAAAGTACGAACCGAATGTATGTATTTATCTTGAAACTTTGTTTTAATTCACGATGCAATTGAACATCTTTATTATTGCATGGTTGCTTGGCCATCCTTCTCATTATTTCGCCCCAACGTTTGCTCAAGGGCAAGTGTTTAGGGAGGATCTTATAATGAGATTTGGTTACATACATTTTAGCCTAACTTACATTGCATTTAATTGCAGGGAGACATAGATCACAAAGTTACATAAAATATATTAGCACATAAAAGTAAGAGATAATATTGTTACAAGACATTCGCTAAACTATATTATTAACTGTTACGTTTATTCTTAAGTTTAATTTGCCCATTACTCGAGAAGGCAAAGGCAGATTACAAAATCTCATTAGCTGAAACATTTTCGTTGGTAACGTATGAATTTTTCAGTTAAGTAACAAATAACAATGAGAGTATGGGGAATCAATGAAAATAATATACCGCTGTAAAATTATGCAAACAGCCATCCATAAATTATGCAGTCCGTACCAAAATTGTGTTGTAATGGATTTGGGTGGATTCATGGACCGTAGGCTCGTTTCCATCATGTTCCATAAATGTTTTAAGGGGAAATATTCAGAGGACTGTGAGAACCAAGTCATGGTAATTCAATTATTCAAATCCTGGTATACAGATCACTGGAACATTTTAAATTAAGTTTCGAAAGAAGGTTTTTAAAATTAATTTTTGAATAAATGCTTAAAATGTTTCACAGAATTGAATTTCGCCACGTTAGGTTTTTTTATAAAATAGATGATAAGTAAGGACTGATTAAAAATTGTCATTAATATCATTAATTACTCGTAATGTGAAACGGTGCAGAAAAGTAAAAATTTTAAAGTATCTTTATTACTTTGTTCGAATAGCTGTCACAAGAATTCTTGAAATGTTTCTAGTTTTCCTAAGGTTTGGTTTAGTTTATTTGATTATAGCAAAGCACTCGAGAGAATCTACCTGCAGGAGGAGAGGAAGGAATGGTCTTCATAGAGGATTTTATAAGGCAAGCTGGCTTGTATACACGTTACACAGGGGGAAACCACGACAATGCTCATACAGCCAGCCCGTTCGCGGGATTTGAACTGCAGACCGAACTATCTGTATTCAGAGAGTTTATCTCTCAGCCGCTTGTAGGCCATTTTTTAAGGATTTGAAATGTATAGAAATTTATTCTTTAATGTGTATATATTATATTCATACATATAATGCCTCAAATAATTTTTGTTGAGATTTAAATGGACAGACTAAATTTTTTTAAACATCTGTTTAGTGAAATCACTACTAGACGATGATAAATTTTATTCATATTATTCATGACGCTTTACGAAGTTCTTAGAGAAATTTAAGTTTTTAAGTAATTCGATGCTATTTAAAATTCATTGCTTTTAACAGCTCTACACTTTATTTCCATGTTTGTTAATCCTTTGACTATTGCGCTTTCGATAATTCCAACGGCGATGTCCTGCGTATAAAAAGAGTTTGTTAAGAGATTAATAATATTTTTTACATTATTAATAATCCTTGTTTCAAAATTACAATGCTATTATCACGGTTAATAATGATATCACGTTAAGATAAAATTCTTATTCCAGCAGGATATCGAGATTTTCTTGCTGTTTGTTTAATACCAATTATTACTGCCGTCTAAACTGATTTATGTTCATAAATTATTAATCAAAGGTACTTACTGTCTGGTACAGAAACTGCAAAACTACGGATGACCAGAAGAAGGAAAACTACAGTTGCTGACAGCATTTTTAAAAGATTCTTCTCCTGCAAAAATAATATCTCATGTATAGCGTAGCTAATATTTCTTGCAAATCCAAATGAGACATGAAGAAACGTTTCGTTCTACTTATGATAACACAATCTTAAGAGGATTATGTTTATAATTTTATCCAACAGTTTGCAACATCAATTAATTTATGCATTTCTTTCTTTTTTACATATGTATCGCCTCAAGAATGATGAAACTAGCGAGCTATTCTAAGACGATAGTAGAATAAATATAGAACACTAAGATGAAAGGAAAAAGAATGGAGCGAAAATGTAATTAGTGAATCTTATTTTGAAATCAATCCACGGTATCTAATTTTTATTCTGCTATAAAGCTCTTTTAAGTGAGTTAGAAATCTTTGAATTATTACTGATGTGTTTGAACATTTTAACCCAAAAAAGTAAATTTTTATTATTGTATACAACGGCATATTAATAAATTCCCTTACTTTTTTAATCTTATTCTTTTCGAAGGAGAAAATGCGAGATGAGTTTCTTTAACTCTTCATTAGGAATGGCTTTGCTTGTCTCTGAAAGGAGTAATTTGTTTTATTCCATTCATTACAACTTCAAGCTGAAGACAGCTTGTTAAACAAATTTTGTTCAAAGCTTTCTTTTTCTTTCCCTTTTTTGATTTAAGGCTTATGTATTTACAGTTTGATTAAAATGCTTTCTACGTTTTATGAACAGAAAGAAGAAATTGCTCGAGTAAAATTTCGGAACTAATAGATTATTAAATTGCTTCATGTTGGGGGGGAGAGCATGAAAAGAAATCCCAGCTTGTTATTTTCTAAATCAATCTTAGTGAACTCAATACTTGTTTGAATACGAAGTAATTCTGCAGTACTTGTCATTTGATTTTCTTTATATTTTTTTATCTCTTTTCTATTTATCCGCAGATAGCGGTTCAGTTCTGGATTCTTTACTTTACTGTCGCTTACACAATATTTTAGAATGTTTTGTTGCAAAACTTCGAGGTTTAAATGCGTTGCAATTATTAGTGTTTGTTACACATCAGTAACACTGAAGAATTACTACTTTTCGAGGTAAACTGAAACTAACAAATCAACACACGTTTTGACATATGCATGTATTTGCTCCGTGTCGTATATTTTTATGTCAAAAATAAAATTTATTTATTAAATTAATCAAACTCTCTCAGCATGAGCTAGCAATCTGAACAGAAACTTTTTCATTTCTTTTTACTTTTACTTCGACTGCTTTCAGCTTATGGCATCAAATGCCTTTTTCATGCCCACGGCTATATATGACGTTTTAAAATGATTCTACAACTAAATACATTTTTAACAGATAAAATTAAACGCTTCAAATGCGGCAGAAAGGGAACTTTAAACAAAGTAGTACATTGGAAATGATTTTAATTTCAGGTACTCGCGTCATGTACGTGAAGTAACAAGGTAACTACACTCGCGAGCGAAATTAAGATAATTTACAAATTATGTTTATTTTTACCAAACGTTTTGAACCAGAGGTACTAATTATGCTGCGCTAAGAATTATGCAAATATTCAGAGTCGAATACTTAAGCGTACACATGCATGTCTGCAGAGCTGTGATACAAGCACAACGAGGGACTTTCAGCGATTTGCGGGCTGGTACTCTTTCACGACATTGCTTATGCTTCTTATGCTTCTCGCAAGAGTCGGATAAATTTGATAATGCATCGGGTAAAATGAGTAACCACGAACGCGCGGATCATGGAATGAGATGGAGCAGTTGTAGACTGGGCCAGTCACAAGCGTAGGTGGCTGCAGAGTTTAATGTAACGTCCAGTGTTGTCTGCAATTTGTGGAAACAGTTTCAGACCTGGGAAAGTTAGACCAAGTTCCACAACGACGAATGAGGATCGCTATTTCGCACTTTCAGGCGTGGTGAGACAGAACTACTACAGCTTCGCAGCTTTAACGTGAGCTTTACGCTGCCATTAGAACCCGAGTTTCACTGTCTACAATTTCTCGCAGACTTCTTGATATAGAGCTGTATGACAGAAGACTCGCTGCTTTCGTCCCGCTCACTGCAGCATACATGAAAACGCGTTTAGCATGATTTAGACAACATGCTGTTTGGACCAGACTTCAGTGGAGCACACTGCTTTTTACTAATGAGCCGAGACTTAATCTAGACACTGATTCTAGGCGTACTAGTATCCGAAGAGATCCTGGAATATTATACCATTCTTCCCTCATCAAGAAAACTGCTCATTACGGGGGTTGAGGTGTAATAGTTTGGTCAAGCATTATGCTAGACGGGAGCTCACCCCCGAATGTGTTCGACAGAGGCTTTCTTACTGCTATGAAATATAGAGATATAGAGAGGAAATATCAGAGTATGTGTTCAACTGTTCGGGAACGCAGTTGGTCCTAGGCTCTTGTTCAAGGACGACAACGCTCATCTACGATTACCTGAAAAGTGACGATACTCGCCGCATGGATTGGCTAGCCAGATCTCTTGATCGTAACCCTATACAGCATGTCTGAGACGCTATTGGGAGAACAATTTCATCTCGCAATACCCTCTCCCGGGACTGAAAACACCCTTAATGCAGGAGTTTTGTCGACTGCCACAGGAACTCCTCAGCTACCTCTTGTACATCATATCGTCGCGCTGCGCGACCTTTCTGGCTGTGAGAGGGAACCATCACAGTGTGGATTTAGGACATTCCTGCACTATGAGCTTTACTGATAATTATGCGTGTGAGAGGAAACCATCACAGTGAGAGGGAACCATCACAGTGTGGATTTAGGACATTCCTGCACTATGAGCTTTACTGATAATTATGCGTACATAAAATGACTTTAGAATGATGCATGTCTTTCTCTACTGTAAATTATAATTTATATGAAATTTTATTTAAATCTGTTAGTTAGTTTTCAGAAATGTGACATAATATGGAAAGTCTCTTAATTTTGTACACTAGTGCAGTCAGAAGCAGAATTACCATTTTGGATGAGGAAGCCGTTAACTCAAGCTGCTAACTAAGTTTTATTTGAACGAGAGCTCTGTTTGTGTTTTGGGATACTGTACACTAAAAATCTAGTGAGTTCTTGAGCAAAGTTTGATCTTATTTCGAAAGTTTTGGAGAGCCTTCACACGGAAAAGCATGTTTCTAGGATTCTTGATTGTCAGGACATCTGTGGATTGAGCTAGGTAGTGACCTGGGTACTTTATAGAAAACGTCTACTCATGTTAGCAGTGCATGGGGAGGTGTTATAATGCTAGGAAATACCATTTTAATGCCGGGAACCTGAGGTAATGAAACGGAAGCAGTACATCGTCAACACATCAACATTCAGTCATTATAGTTGTGATTCAGATCATCGGCTATTTATGTTAATGCCACACCAAATCATAACTTGTCAATGATAACTTCCAAAGAATCGAGATGAACGTCGAACAGAATTCTGTGCCATTCGTCACCATAGCTAACGGAGGTGAGACTGCACTGCTAAGCAGTCACTTCAATGATTTGAAATTAATGGCATCATAGAGTCTTTATGTTCCAACCTTCTAACCACTGCCTGAAACTTCAACTGACAGTTATAGTATGCCGTTGAATTTCCGCCCCAATAAGACGCAGAATCCAACTAATTGTATTTAGGTACATTATTAAGCCTCCAGTAATTACATTTATTTGACAAAAATACTGTGGATGGTTGATTTCTGTAATAATTTTTGCCTCTAAATCTTTATTCTGACACACGCATCGACAAAACAGAATAAAATAAATCAAATAAAAACAAAAAACTTAATTATATATATATTTACTAAAAAATATTGATTATATTAACTCCTAATATTAATTTTAGTAGAAAAGGAGTGAACCCATAGCTAGGAAGTTTTGCTTCCTTTTAATTTAATTTCTTTTTCCAATTGAAATTTTGTTATTCATGATTTACTTCAAGTCCCCGTAAAACATTTTTAACAATTTACATTCAAGTTACTTTAAAACAATTTTTGGAATTAAACTTCCTACCTATGGGTTCACTCTTTTTAGATACATCTACTAAAATTAATATTAGGAGATAATATAATCAATATTTCTTTAGTAAATAAATTATTATCATCTTACTTTGCAGCTATTGTGCAAGTATTAGAATAACTTTTTTTCGAACTTAGAGAATTTAAGATCATACAACATATATATATACATATATATATATTTCTGGGGCATAGAAAAGGAACTTTATGATGTAGGAGAAAAATTCAGTTTGAAAGGCTTTAGATTACAGTCTAACATGCAACAAAATAATTTACCTTTAAAAATTTCGAAACATATTGAAAAATTATTTCTGTTTTAACACCTGAAGCAATTATAAGCTTAACTATAACTATAGCTGCATTACGTTAAAGATTGTTAAATTGCTTAAGTTCACGCCGGGAAATAATGTTATGAATCTTACTTCACGGCACCAATGTTATATAGAAGAAAGTTTCGACACCAAGGTTAAATAGCTTTACTTCAGGGTACCATGTTATATCTGAAATTCCTATATGTTAAATGTTAAATATGAAACTACTTGCCGTGAAAGGTAGTGATCGTATAGTGAAACGTGTACAGCATTTTTGCGTTGTGAAAAAAAAATGCATTCCGGGACCGCGCCGTGAGAGGATCGAAAACATAAAACATATACAAGATATAAAGGAAAAGTTCATATTAAATATATAAAGAAAACATGCTGTAAGAGGTTCCAGATTAAATATCAGTTTATTCAATTACATCACAATAAGAAAAATCTTAACCTCATCTGAGAGTCTTTTCATTTAAATTTATAAAAAAACTTAAGGTTTGTCTGGTAATTTAAAAAAAGGAAAGGGAAACAATTTAAGGCCTGAGAGTTAAATTTTAGATTCGACGTTGTTTTACTGCTAAGGACGTTTTTGAAAAGCTTGCCTAAAGTTCAAACACACCAAAAAAAAAAAAAAAAAAAAAAAAAAAAAAAAACTTATCTTGAGGGGACATCTTGAAGTGGACCGGGCTCATCTTTACTCGTTCTAAAAGGGTCGGCACCAATTCCCACTGTCGAACAGAAACAGGAGCACTGCTGCCCAGGACGGCTATCCGCTTGGTCCTGAAAGTCCTATGTCAACACGCAGGTAACTCGTTCAAATTTCGCCTCTTTACCAGCACGCCGCAATGAAGAGGGTTTTCAGCCTCAGGTCAGAAACGTTGTTTCTAGGCAATTACGGCTCGCCTGTTCTTACTCATCCCAAGAGCAAGCTTCACGAGTAACGTCCCAAGTAAGTTCCACCCGCCAGTCAGTAAGAGAGAGAATCCAACTCGAATTTCCTTCAAGCCAGTTTTCAAGAGCAACGTCCACAAGTTCAGCAAACCCGAAAGTCAGCGAGTCCAAGAGTGAGTGCGTCAAAAAGTCGCCTCTTAACCCAAAACGCGGCCGGGGAGCATATTTGCCGCTCCCCGCCGGAAAACATCTCTCGTAGTCAATTACATTTATCTCCTTCAAGCCAGTTCTCAAGAGCAACGTCCACTAGTCCAGCCAGCCCAAAAATCAGTGAGACCGAGAGTGAGTCTCGCCTCTTAACCAAACGCGGCCGGGGAGCATATTTGCCGCTCCCCGCCGGAAAACATCTCTCTTCGTAATTACATTTTGTCCAGCAAGCCCGTAAGTCCAGCAAGCCCGAAAATCAGCGAGTCAGTCAGAGCGTGAGCCAAAAAGTGAATCCAGAGTAAGTGTGTATCCAACTCGAATTTCCTTCGTCTCCTTCCCAAAACGGGCTCCCACTATGGCTTCACTTATCGCCCCCTTAATTATGGCAAAATCTTCGTTTTCAACTCCAGAATGCGGAAATAAGGGTGATCGCGCATGCGCGCCCGCCCTTCTTCACTTAGCCAACAACCGGACCCTCAATCGCCAAAAACCTGAATGACTTACATTGAAAGACAAGTAGCAACCTTTGACCTTTCCGTCACGTACTTTCCTCTCTTAAGGTCAACTAACAATGAAAATTCTTTCTCGAACATTCTAAGGACAAAGCACGCGAAATCATGACTTGGCAAAAATTGCCTCCCTTTCCCTGCTTCTTTCACAATGAATAAAAGTTTGTACAAGATTTGCAAATAAGAGGAAAATAAATAATATTCTTTTAAACTAAATAATATTTCCAGAAGCATCTGTTTTTCCCCAAAATTAAAGCCTTAAAATAAATAATTCATAATCAAATAAAAATTAAGATTTCCATAAATCATAAAATCATTCACCTAATTTTTTATAACGCTATCAGATAATTTCTCTACATAACAAGATTAGAATTCAGGATATAGAGCAAAATATGATGTACCTGAAATGAGCTGTTTAAAATAGCAATATCTAATAGTAAAATATAAAAGAAAAAGAAAGAAAGAAAGAAAATAAATTTGTTGGAATATTATTCCACTGTTAATTAATGCCACGTAGAAAGTTTTCCCTTCATTTAATAAAGAAAAGAAAAATTATCCAATATGTAGATATGCACTTTTTCCATTAGATCACTTCTACACGAGCCCTTTTTCTGAAATAAAGTTGAAACCAGGCACAACGGTGACGGAAGTATGGTGGTTGCTTCATAGAAAAAACTAGAAGAGGAGCCAACTTAGCTTAGAAAAGTTATAAATTTATTTTTTAAAAAATGATAAATCTCATCTTTCAACTATGAAATACAGATGCAGCGCTTTAAATCATCATAAATAAAGTTAAAAAAATTTATTAACCCTTTGCACTCCAGCTTAGTTTTATGTAATGCAGCTAGGGAACAAATATTTCATTTTATTGCAGCAACCATATTTTTTATATTATATATCCGGATGGCGGTAGATTCGTAGTGTCAATTTAAGAACTGAATAAAATAATATAAGCTTGCAGTCAATGAAAAATTTGATCACATGATATTTTTTCGTAAAAATATAGAACATTTAATTTTTTTATATGTTCCGTCTGCGGAGGAAATTCCAGTTAATAAATTAATCATCATCTTTCTAAGTATTTTTATAAGGAAAACCTAGTTCTGTGATATGCAGAAATGGATCCCAAAACATTTCCAATAAAATTATTTTTCTTACAATTTACGAAAGAATAAAATTAAGTAAACAGTTAACAAAAGCGTATTTTCAACTAACCAAATTAAGAAATTAGATTTGTTACTTACGTGTGACGATGTCTGTTTATGACAACTATGTGTGTGACTAGACTTACAACTGTTATCGATTGGTAATGCACAATATCAGCTTATCAAGTATCCAATAGGAGTTTTTTCCATGACTGATTTCTTATCTAACAAAAAGTGTTGAACGTTTCCATGCTTATCTAACTTTCAACGATAAACTTCCTTCGTTATTGTTATTTTCAGTCAATTTTTATATCAAATATGAATATTCATACTAGCAAATTTATGCTTGCGATAATTATTTTAATTTCGATGTTTAACATTTAAATGTTAATCGTAATAAAAAATGCATTGACAATGAATGCTTCTAATATTTAGACATTGATAAAAATAAAATATCCTGAAGTTTAAGAAATTATTACTCTTATTTGAATCAACATATATTTTGTTTTGCAGCTTATGCTTTGAATAAAGTGTCACTTTTAAGAATGACGAAATATTCAGCTCAATTATAACTCAACTTGAATTTTAAAAATCAAGCTGAATGTTCTACGTTCTTTTGTGCAATTTTACTAAAGTTTCTATTGTTTTGTCGTTATACTGAAAAAATGAAAATGAGTAATTAAATACTAAGGAGAAAAATATCACTCTTATTTCTGCACAATGATCCCCATTTTGAATCTTTATTGTAAAAGAATAGATAGTTAAATCCATTATTATATAAATAAATGTTAAAAATAGGGATCATAGGCTACAACTTGAAATAATCAGCGATGACATTATTAAATGATGCTATTAAGTTGTTAGAGTATTTGCATACTGAAACGAAATATACCAGTCTTTGAAATTCTCAAGGTGAAATGTAATTCTTTAACGTTAGAAATATCAGTGGAGTAACAAATAAAGTAAGAAGTAACATATAAATGATAAAAGCTTCGCAATACTCATAGTTGCAAATGCAAGTCAAGACTTGAAAAATGGTGTTATAAAATGTAGAGACATTATCATTAACATCTGTTTCAAATTAAATCTAAAAAAACTATGCAAGAATAAAAGAAGTACATCAAGGTTACACATAAAAAGCCTGTTTTATTTTACATTTAAGCGCAATTTACAATAAATTTCATTGTTAATATTTTATGCACATTAGTTTTCACTCTTTACTTTTTCATATTAAAGCTAATTTACACAGATATCTTTGCCACAAAACTCTTCACTTTTAATAAAAGCTACAGAAAAAGTTGTAACAAATTTCTACTTTAGCTACTAAGACAGAAGCTGCATGTGTAACGTGTATACGAGCCAGTTTCCCTTAGAACGTCCTCCACGAAGGCATCTCTCCCCTTAGGACGATAGCCCTAGTGTGCTTTGCCATAATTAAATAAATCAAACCAATACAGAAGCTGTTCGCACATTTTTTTAGACGATTTTCTTTACATTTACAGAAATATTTTACCTAAACTTTTTGTGTTTTAAATGTTCTATTTGATGACCTTTATTCTCCACTATCTTTCTACACTGTAATTTCCGAGACAATATGGCCTTTTGTAGTATCAGAAGAGGTATTTTATTCCATCCCCAGAACAGCTTTCCAAAGTCCAAGGAGGGTTGTACGCCGACACTTGGATTATCCACTTTTCAAAAGCGCAAAAATCCAGGGGTTATACGTCAAGAGATTTAGTACAGATAATGTGCTAAGGATATGAACTGGATACTCGTTTCATGTTCCATTTTTTTCCAGGAAATTAAGAGTGGATTTTGACATAGGGGCTGCTAGCTTTGTCTTGATACACTTTTACTGATTGATGACACTGTGGGTAAAGAGATGGTATTTCATATTTGAAAATTGAATATCAAATATGCTTCTGACAATATGTGAAATTGATATTAAACATTTTGTTCCACTCGTTTTGCTTTAAATTTGTTGCAATATGAAAAACCAACAACATTCATAAATCTCTTTGAAAACCTTTCTTTGACCCGCGCTTTAAGATTTTTTTCTCCTCTTTGATGATAATAAATTAATCTGTTTTTACTACAGTCATTTAAATACACCCACGATTCATATATTGTGACAACATGTTTGTATTTTTGTTCGGGTAAATGTTTCTTATAAAGAATTATGGAGTGAGTTCTGCTTTGGGCGATATGTCTTAGAGAAAGACGATGCAAATTAGATTCAAATCAGCATTATTCACTTTATTTACAGTTAACAACAAACATTTTAATGATTTTTCAGCTGTCCTTTGAATTGGTGGATTTTCTTTTAACTTTAAAGATCATGCCTTTGCAATATTCGACACATTCCGTTTTTTCCCCTGGTTATGTATTTGGAACAATTTTCCCATTTGAAGCCAAACTTTTTCAAACAAAAGTTTTTTCTTTTCTTTTGGCTATATTATCTATCGTAGCTTTAGGTATCGAAACACCATAGCGTTCACAGAGCTTTTAATAACGCGATGCGAGTAATTTTCTTCGGGAAGGACAAACATAGCTTTCCTTCCATTGCTTCTTTGAAAGCGCCATTTCGCATGAAAACAAAGCTGTCAAGTAGCAAACGGTAACTTATACTTTCAAACATATAGCTGCAGTTAAAAAACAATTTTCAAGGAATCGATTTTTTTATAGCAAAGCAAAATCATCTAAAAATTGTGCCATGTCTCTGTACATTACTGTTCTTAAAATAGCTTGTTAACTGTATATAGTTGCTTGTTCCGCATTAATTTTTAATTTCATTATTTCAAATGAAAATAATTAGAACCATCTTAGTGAAGCTTGATCGCTTATTAATGTTTACCAGCTATGGTCTAGCACTAAGAAAATTGTCAATTACATTAATAATGAATTTTCGTGGTCCTACGAATCGATATGAAACTTTGTCCGTCCCATGTTTAAATTTATGGTGATATATTACATTGCATATATTACTAATATTTACAAATGAGATTTTAGAGCTCTAATCTCGTTAATTATCATTATATTGCTGAAAATTTCATGCCGTCATTGAAATATGTATTCACAGTTTTTGAAAATGTCTACAATGCGTCCTAATCAAGGAAGTGAGTCGAACTGCCTACTAATAGTTTAAAACAATGTTGCAAATCATGTTTAATGTAAAGTTTCTTTTCTCATACATTCACTAATGCTGAGCGTGAAAATGTGGACATTTGCGTAACACTCATTAGAGACGTAGCTGATATTGTTTTCATGATAATTAATAACTTTTACAGTGGTATTTTCATTAGACCATAGCTTTTATTTCTTTACTTCGGAGGCAATAAAAGAGAAAGATTCTTCCACAGGACAGCACAAGAGAACCAGTTTGCTAACACCTGCATAAACTAATTAGCCTATATAATTTAGATTATGGTTTTAAAAGCCTCATTGCTTTCTACGGTGTAGTTTCAGGAATATGGTATATTTCGTGAAAAACAGGATTGTGTTATTATAACATACATAATTAATAAAAAGGGCACAGCATTCAAGAATCTTGGCAACGATCCAAAACAAAATGGAAAGTAACGTCAAACATCGGGTAATCATGTTATCTCTGTCAACATTTTTTCTGAAATACGACCGGGTTCTATTTGTTAAAACATGGCAGGATCTCTAAGTTTAAATATTAAGTGGAGTGATGTGTATATACCTGCGCACCTGAGCTACAAGGCCCTAAAGCACATCGAACAAATATTTTTTGTTTTTCATAAATTGTCATCCATAATTTATTATGTTTCTAAACGTTTTTATGAGAATGATATATTTTTATAACAATATGGAATGGAAAAATTCCAAAATAAAGTCCGGCTCGAAAATTAGATGGAGCTGGTGATTGGAAACGGTAAATTAAGTAAGCGTGAATTTTGGTTCTTTTAAAATAATTGATATATCAATACACACAACAAACACAGGAACAGTAAGACAAGACCATACATAGGCGAGTGAAGAAGCGCGCATATAATGAGGATAAACATTAAGCATGATATATATAATTACAGAATTTTGCTATTAAGAATGGCTTTCGGTCTATTGCTGAAAATAGGGTTATTATAACCGTAATCACAGGTCTTTATGTCAGAATTATTAATTTTTCCCTATCTGTCGTGAAACTTGCGTGAAGTTTATATAAATGCAATAAACGTAATAACAATGAGTGAACTATTTTTGCTCCTTCAGATTTTCTACACCGTTTCTCTGGAATTCAGATTTCTTCATACCTGATGATAAGCTCTGCTGTTGCAAAATAAAAATATGCAACGTGTCCTTTTTACTAAAAGTGTTGTGTCGTTTCAAAATGTTTCACATCTTTGCCAAAAGATGGCACCACCAGTTCTGGTATTATTTCTTCCTCGTCAAAGTAAAGCGATAACATTTCTCATTTGTACGAGTTATGAATATTATTCATTTATTAAGAAGTAAAAATTGTATTTAAAGATCGCAGTCCATGGACATTCATATTTTAAATTACTGAACGTTATTTCGTTCGTAGAGATTGTGGGACTGTTCGTAAGGCAAAATACCTCTAAATTTGTTTATGAGGGGAAAACAAAAGACAAAGCAAGGAAAAGAGAGAAAGATAAAACTAGAAGGAAGGGGGATACGCAATGGATGAGCATGCTTCCCCCTCATAAAGCTCTTTACTGATAGTTAGTGTTTACGGCTCGTGCACTTTCAGTAGGTCAGCAAATAAATAGTTGGCATAGAAATATATTATTATTTTAACTCTAAACTAAATTTTTAAATATGAAAACGGGATACGAGATTCCCTACAGCATTTTTTACCCGAGAAGAGAACATAAAGTGCCCCTAAGTGATTTCTTGAGTATTAATTTACGGGAGGAAGTCCCTTTATCCCGGAGCTGAAACAAATTGTTTTTGTCCCAGCCTTTTGCCGAAGCTCAGAACAAACATTAATCCGAATCTTTCCTTTTATCTTTCCTTTCCTTTTTTTTTAAATACCGCTTAAGTTTCTGCAGCGAAGTAATCGCGCGAGGTCAAATAGTCGAAGGAAAATGCAATCCCGGGAGTAATCAATTTAATTTTAAATTATTTTTGCACTCCACTCAGAGACGTAACTTATAAATCAGTTAGTCGAGGTAATGAAATCGCGGCAAGA